GTGTACGTCAAAGTTATCTTTCATAAGACGATAATCAATAAACGTCAGCTTAGATTTTAACATGTACCGTTTAACCATGAAATTTAAATGTAATAGGGTAAAACCCAGTGCATTTAACATAATGCTGCACTTTAGAAAATGGGTTGAAATATAACATGTTGGTGGAGCTGGGTTCCGACTATCGGCTTGTGGAGCTCTCGGGAGACCGATGTTTTCCACTCGTTCTCCCCTCCCTGCAGCTCGGCACGTCTCTGTCTGATCGCGGCTTCTGTCTGCTGCGCGGGCTGCCGACTTGTGGAGCTCTGGGATGGAAACCTTTCCACCCGGTTCTCCCTAGCGGCCGCTCTGCGCATTTCAGATTGCAGCGGTGCTAGTCTGCTGTGCGGCTGCCGGCTTGTGGAGCTCTCAGGAGACCTCTGTGTTCCACCATAGACTGTACATACGTGTTCCACTCAGTTTTACCCAGGGGTCAGCCCGGCGTATCTCTGACAAAAACACCTGAACTTCATCATTTTTCTACATTAAACCATCTTAGTTTGAAACCCAGGCCTGGAAGATGCTGGGTGGCATGTCTATCTTTTAAGAATGTTCTGCTTTTAATTGTTTAAACTTTACTTCCTGTTCAGTTTTGTTAAATGTTGCTTCCTGTATTGTGTCATTCGCATACCTGTATCTATATGTGTACAAAAACTTTCTTGTAGATGGCCTGTATTTGATATAGCACCTTTTAGAGTCCTGGAAGCCCACCAAGGTGCTTTACAACAAAATCAGTCATTCATCCATTCACACACACATTCACACCCTGATGGTGATGAGCTACGATGTAGCCACAGCTGCCGTGGGGCACACTGACGGAGGCAAGGCTGCCAAGCACTGGCGCCACTGCTCCCTCTGACCACCACCAGCAGACAAGGGGGGGTAAGTGTCTCGCCCAAGGACACAATGACAAACTGAGTGGGGCTCAAACCTGCAACCTTCCGATTATAGGCCAAGCACTCAAATCCTGTGCCACCGTCACCCCAGATATTTGTTGTTTCTTCCACTTCATTTCCAGCTCTGACTTTAGTCAAATGCTTCCTGTGAATTTGATTTGAACTCCTTGTAAAATTCTCAACAAACCTCCTCATCAGGATTAGTACCTTCATCAAAAACCTGTGGTTTTCAGTCCTATACATGTTTACCGCCCCGCTGGTGGAGGTTCTGCCGGTTTGAATTCTCTCATGCAGCAGCGCCTGTAAAACAGCACGAGTGAGAGTTCACAAACTGCAACTATAGCTTGAATTATGGTTAAGTGTGTGTGTGTGTGTGTGTGCGTGCGTGCGTGCATGCGTGCGTGCGTGTGTGTGTGTGGTAAAAACCATCAGGTGTGTCTAATAACTCGTGTGTAAGTGCACAAACCACTGAGGGCGGCGCCAGCTCGCCAGCCTCCCATAGACTCCCATTCAAAAACATCTGCGTTCTTCCTGAAACATTAAATTAAATCCCCTCTGGATGTATGAGGTAAATAGTAACTCTAACGGAGGATTTCCAGGTCAGAGGGAGCAGCTGGTATTGTGAGCTTGTCTTTATAGCAGCTGTTTACTAAGTAAAATCAGATAATACCATACTTACAGGATGTCACCGTAGATGAGTACCATTTCATTCAATTAAAGCCATCTTGGTAAACGTATGATGTGCACTCTTAGTGGCCTTGAAACAAGGCTCCATCTTTCATCCATATTCTGTTTTTCCTCCAAACATTGATAAAAACCAGATAACAACCTGATGAAAACCTTGTAATAAATACCTGTAGATCCTTTTAAAAGACTTTGCTTTTATCTGTCAGAATTCACATTCAGCCTTCATCTACAGGGGTATTTTATTTGAACCCATTTGTTTATTCAAGCTCTCCAACTTTAGACACATCATGAAAAATGGATGGATCTGACCTGGAACGACCTGTTCAATCAAACCCCTTAATCCACTGAGACTGCCTGAATGCATAAATGAGGGATTTTTAGTGTCACTCCTACATAATTAAAAGGCCAGCCGATCACAGTGTTTACCTGTTTGTGTGTTACTAAAGCATCTTCTGCAGGTGACTCCTGGCGGACCACAGCAGAGACCGTGATGTTTCATAAGCGATCCTAGATGTTTACAGGCTCTTTTCCTTTAAGATAAAAATAAATCAGTCCGGCGGGTGGATTTAGTATGAATGTCTTAGTTCATGTGCTTGCCTGCCATCCAGCCTCCAAACTGTTACATAAGATTTTTGTTTTCCATTAATTTGATTGAGTTTTTGAAGCATTTCATAACAAAGAAGAACAGATAAATACGAGCTCACATAAAGAGTTTAATGTCTCTGGGTGAACATGATGTGCTCTGAGCTCACACAGGTTCTCAGCCTCCATAAGTAAATGTCAACCAAATGTTCAGCTCAGTAAGGATTTAATGAAGAACTATCATCTAGAGTAGTTCCTAATCTTTAACAGTTAACATGCTCAGACTCTAGGTGTTGCTCTTTAGGCCTTTTGCTTCTTCTGGGAGATCGCCAATAAAATGTTTCTCAGTGATAATCAGAGAGAAACCGACTCTCAACATCCATACTCCCAGACTTTATCGTTGGCGTTATTGAATAAATAATTCACCTGAAGATACAGATTGTGCTAACTGATGAGTTACTAATAGGTCATATTTTGTTTAGCATCAGATCCTCCTTTAGAGAGGTAGCTAGCCTAGAAATCTAGACAAACCGTAGCAGTAGCAACGATTTAGCTCTGCAAGTTTGTTTAGCCACGCTCCATTGTAGACTCAGCCAGTCTACCATTGGCCTGATCAGTTTTAGGTCTGCCCAATCACAGCGATCTACATTTGTAGAGAGATGTTGGGTGGGCTTAGCAGCAGAGCCGTGATGGAGAAAAACTACAAAGATGGCGTCGGCTGTGGAAGAGCACTCATTTTAAACAACTTTGGCATCAATATTAGACTGTTCAGACTCTGGCTTTTCTTTGAGACATGAGATTTATTGATAAAATGATGGATTTGTTTCTTCTTCTTCTTCTTCTTCCTCTTCTTCTTCTTCTTCTTCTTCTTCTTCTTCTTCTTCTTCTTCTTCTTCTTCTTCTTCTTCTTCTTCTTCTTCTTCTTCCTCCTCTTCTTCTTCTTCTTCTTCTTCTTCTTCTTCTTCTTCTTCTTCTTCTTCTTCTTCCTCTTCTTCTTCTCCTTCCTCTTCCTCTTCTTCTTCTTCTTCTTCTTCTTCTTTGGTGTATGGCGAACGGCCCCATTGCCCTTATTTCCATAGTGATGAATATGCCACGTTGTTCATTGTCCAATAGCATGCAGAGGCAGTTTTAAAGACAACTGTATATCCCACCCCACGGCTGAGCTCTGTCTATGGGTCGTGGCCAGACTATATATTCTCATATACAGGATGGCATGCCAAGCTAGAAGGTAGCTTGATTTTGGAGATTCACATGATAATGGCCTTGAGAAATCTCCTAACTCTAATCCCATCATCTCTTCTGTTTAGACCAGTTAGCTGGTTTATACCCTTCAGTTTAAAGTGACAATGTGTAGTTTTTACCATTAATTTCTGGAAACATCCATTGAAATGTTGTCATAAATTACTTAAAAGATGTCCAGTTTTTGAAAAATAATGTCAGTTTCATAACATATAATCATAAAAATGTGTTCCAACATTCATGGAGCGGGTCTAAGTCTCTGGACGACGCCATGTTGGATGCCATGCTTCCTTCTACGGAAGTCTGTGAGGACAAAATGCATTTATGTTTATTTATTTGGCAGACCCTTTTATCCAAAGCGACTTACAATTTATAACCTATAGGGCATGTTGTGATCTGTGGGGGAAACCGGAGTACCCGGAGGAAACCCACGCATGCATGGGGAGAACACGCAACTCCACACAGAAAGGCCGCAGCAGAGTTTCAAACCTGCAACCTTCGTGCTGCAAGGCAACAGTGCTAACCACTGCGCCACCATGCAGCCCATTTACTGATTTATAACAAAATTGTCACCATTAAAAACATTGTTGCTTTACACGTTTACCTCTTCACTCATTGCCAGTGATGAAAGGGTCTCTGATGTTCTTGTTATTTTGCTGGAGGTTGCACTCCCTGGGATTTTTGACCCTAATGGCCATCCGTTGGTAAGGTTTTATTTGAACACAAAAATGATGCTTGCTTGTAGTGATTTAGGTACGTGCTGCTCCCATCACCAGGGAAAATACACACTGCCACTTTAAGGAAATTCTGCATAATCTTCTAATCACTGAGTTCACATTAAAAGTTGTTTTTTTAACAACTTCCATTTTCTAAATGACAGAGAAGTTTCCAAATGATTCATGAAAGCAACCATCTGGCAGGTCAGATCCACCCCTCACCTGTCATGTGTGATTTCACCAAAACCAAGATAGCAACAGCTAAATGTGAGACTCAGTGATTCGAAACACATCTCCACTCTCAACGTCGCTCTTCCATTTTCAGATCATGGATCTGGTGCTTTTCATTTCAGACGTTTAGTTCACTTTGACTTATTCATCTAATTTACTCCTGTAATAATAGAGATCTTTTTTATCCATTCTTTAACAGGTTAACTACATGAAATGTCAAAAAGATATTTAACTAAACATGTTTTTTGGTTTGATGTCTTGTTTTAAGGTTCATTTACAAAAAAGCGTCAGAAAATAAAATTGGTTTTAAGAAAAATCAAACAATAATCAGATTAAAACAGTAAGCGGGACCTCATATGATGAAAGATAATGTCTGATCCAACAAATGATTTTGAACATTCAGATAATGAGTTGGATTACCACATTATACGCTCATTAATCCGTTTAATGAAACATGCCAGTTTATTTGAGTTCTGAGATGACTCAGCATCCTTGTGAATGCGTTGGTGTCATAATGACTGGAGTATTTATTGATGACTCATTTTCAACCTTTATCTTAAATTGATGCCCCTTCGCCCGCTGCCATCTCACCGCCACGTCTCTTGTTTATTAGGTGGTCTACAGGAATAATGAGTTCAGGCTGGAGCTGTCGCGGCTGGCTGAGCAGCGAGACCCCAGGATCAGTATCCATGGTGACCTGATATTCAGCTGCGAAAGCATGGAGGCTCTGGAGCCGATCACCTTTGACGTGCCGCCTGCCTACCTGACGTTGCCCAGGTGGAACACCAAGAAGACAGGCGCCATTTCTTTTGACTTCCGCACCACAGAGCCCAACGGCGTGCTGCTCTTCAGCCATGGCAACCTGCAAGGTACGCTGCCCGACAGGAAGCCCCGCGCTGACTTCTTTGCCATGGAGCTGCTGGACGGGTTTATCTACCTGGTCATGGACATGGGCTCCGGCAGCATCAAGATTAAAGCCAGCAACGAGAGGCTGGACAATGGCGAGTGGTGCCACGTAGACTTCCAGAGAAAGGGGCGCAACGGTGAGATCATGTTATGGCTTTTGTGAAGCCTTCTGTCTGCTCTTGTGTTTCTCCAGTTAAAGGGCTCCAAGCTGTGAAAGTGCCATAAGCCAGCATGGGTACGATGACATCCACGCATTCTTGCTGCTTTTAATTCACTGCAGTAAAAATAAACATGTTGAGTTTTAATTACAATCGTATTATTTAATCTAAAAGTGGCATTTGGAGATCTGTTAACCTATTTCACAAGTGGCCAATTATAACAGTCTCCCAGCCCCAATGAGGCTGGTAAATGTCTACCATATTTGTTCTATGCAAATGTCGGTGGCAGAATCCAAATGAAACACGCTGTTCCTGCTGCTTTGTCCCGCTTCTCTTGGCTAATGTTGTCATTTATAGGTCCTAACTTTTTTTAGAGCAAGTTTTTGTTTTTGCTTTTGTTCCAAATGTTAACTCACAGGATTTTAGTGGAACAGCATATTAATGTGAACACAAGCAAATAGGTATTAGTGCAACACACACACACACACACACACACACACACACACACACACACACACACACACACACACACACCTGTTTCTCTGCAGCAAAGACCTTGAGATGCTGATGTCTGCCCCACAGGCTTTATCTCTGTCAACAGCCAGAGCACCCCCTTCACTGCAAACGAAGGCAGTGAGATCCTTGACCTAGACGGAGACATGTATCTGGGAGGTCTACCAGAAGATCGCCAAGCCCTCATCCTCCCCCCGGAGGTGTGGACGGCTTCCCTGGGCCTCGGCTTTGTGGGCTGTGTGAGAGACCTGTTTATTGACGGGCAGAGCCGGAACCTTTGGAGACTGGCAGAGATCCAAAGCGCCACAGGTGTCAGCAGTTTGTGCACCAGGGAGACTCACACCAGGTGCACCCGGGACACATGCGCCAACGCGGGGCACTGCAGAGAGGGCTGGAACCGGCACATCTGTGACTGCAGCAGCAGCGGCTACGTCGGTCCCAGCTGTGAGAAGGGTAAGAGTCTCTGCCAGCGAGGGCAGCGGGCTTTCAAACGCTGCAGAGAAGCTTTTAACACACTTTGGGTGGTATTTTATTTATTAGGTGAGGTGTTAAAAGTGACTTTTCAGATAAAAATAATGTAGGTACAGGGAAAATTCATCATCTGACTTAATACTCACAGGCTCCAAACAATAATGATTCTATTTGCGAGTGGAGAAGGATCATGCTTTATTTTCTCATATGCATTTAAATGAGATCCAGACTCTTACCTCAAAATAATATTTTACTTCTCCAAAGCAGCCTAGAGGAATTGACAGCACTGTTTTTTTTCTCCATGTAAACCCTTTAATGCATGAATTATGACATCTTCAACAGTGGGTTTTTTTTTTTTACAATTTTTTTCATTCATCTTTAGGTGTGAATGAAACCAATTTCAACAAACATTTTTTGTAACTTTTAATCATTTACAAATAATTTATTACATGTACACCTCAGTGGACAGCGTGCGTTCTGAACATGAAATATGTTGGCTTGGCTTACTGAAGTCCAAATGGAGGGGCTCAAATGCAATAAAGTCTTCAACAGCTGTGCTTAAATAGCAAAAAAATAAAATAAATAACAATTCTGAGTCCTGTCCTATGCATCAAAGGGTTAAACCACTCTAAAGTAAATTACAGTGTTTTCCTACAGCAGAGTGACTCATTAATGAATCGTCAGTATTGTGAGGTTGCCAGCTCTATGCGTGTTTCATTAAAGATGCAGTGATGCTTCAGCAGAGTCATTTGGCCCAAATCACTTAGCATTTTCCATGCAGATGTTTTTTTTCACACGGAGGCCAAATTACGCAGATCCACTGGCCGCTAATAGTGTGACGGATGCATTAAAATCCCTCTTGAATTGCAGCGAGATGGGAATAAATCCTTTTGAAATGTAATTGCTGCTGCAGTCCCGCCACCGTCCTTGTGTGCTCCGGGCTTTTTCTGCCATCTGGTGCGACGGATGAAAACTGCAATCAAAAAGGATGATTTTTCTGCACCAAAGCTCACCTCAAAGGAGAATACAGGCTTTTGTTGATTAATATTATTTATTGCTTCTGATTTAATGTGCTTTGTGATGATTGTCGCTAAAACCCCACAGAGGCCACAGCAGTGAGCTACGATGGCAGCATGTATCTGAAGGTGATGCTGCCGGCGACGCTGCACACGGAGGCCGAGGACGTGTCCCTGCGCTTCATGTCCCAGAGGGCCTTTGGTTTGCTGGTGGCCACCACGTCTCAGCAGTCAGCCGACACCCTGCGCGTGGAGCTGGACGGCGGCCGGGTCAAACTAACCGTGAACCTGGGTAAAGCTGCAACAGCAAACACGGGCAGATGATTCCAGTTAGGAAGTGGGCAGATTTATCAATGCACCTGTTTCATCAGAGGCTCTCCCATAACCACCTCCATGCACAATCACTACGGCTGCCTAAAAAGATCAGCGCACACCCCTGTTTGCTGCAATTTTATGATTTGATTGCATCAGATTTGTTTGGTGTTTCTTGAACACCAGGCAGCTTTTGGCTGCAGATTGCTCCACATTTTCCAAGACATACATATTAAATAAATTAATATAATCCAGAAATAATGAATACATTAAAATAAAGGTATAGTCTTTTCTAAACAGAGCAAGAAGTCTCACAAAGGCATTCTTCTCTTTACCAAAGGTGTCCGCCCTTGGTATTTTCCTCCATAATTTCTATTATAGAAATAATTCGACAGCCAGTCAGTCACTTATGATGTGTAGACATATTTCTGAGCGGAGCTCTTTGTTACAATTCACACCCCGGCCTCACTCAGGCTCATTTTACACCAAGATGTAAATCATCCCTCTGTACCTGTAAGCTAGCTGTCTGCTTCACACAAGACTTCCTGTCTCCTAATCTGTAATAGCCCAGCTAACCCCCAGCTAGAGCTGTTATGGCAGGAAAATGATTTCCTCTTTGTGTCCTCCGCTGATTCTATTTAAAGCAACAGGTCAGATTCTGAAATGGGCTTTGTGGAAAAGTTGTAAAGCGTGAATACATTACCTGTTGTGGAGAGCCCGTTTGAAGGGCCTGAGTTGGACGAAAAACAGAATAGATGAGCAGACAGCTAGTTAGAGCAGCGAGTTAGGTTGATGCTATCTACAACAAGACTCATCTGAAAAATATCATAGGAGATGTTTTGTAAATATATGTATGTGGTTATTTGCAGAGGGTAGTTGTAGCACTTCCTGTGCAGCCTGAGACACTTTCTGCAGGAAAAGCTCAAGAATCTCTGACCACAAGGAGGCGCTGCTAATAGTAGCTCTGTTGAGATGGTAGTCCAAGGGGGAGGGGTCTGCAGATCAGCATCTGATGCACGTGGGCTGTTCCTCAGAGTCACAGGGAGCTGGTGGCTATCTCCAGTTCTCATGGGTGAGACGTGAGAGACATCCTGCCCATCACAGAGACACACAGAGCAGCTTAGACACCCACACCCACCTCGAGACCTTTCCAGTCAACCTTACGTACGCTGGTCATTGGAGTTCTCGGAGAAAACCCACACATCCTTGTAGAGAACACGTTATAGCACCACTCAGTAGCTGGGATTCAAACCTTCAGCCTTCTCTCTGCAAGGCTGCAGAACTATGCGGTGCAGTGTTTTCTTAAATGTGTTTTTCTCACCAAAACTCTGTTTGTGAGCAAACTGGACGTGCAGATTGAGAAAATAAATCATTTTTTCTACTTTACCTGGAGAGGTGCAGATGGGCCCAGAACGGGCCCTCAACAGGATTCCTTAAACACTCCTATAAGATCTCAGTACTGCAGGTGACGGGACCAAACTAAACACTACAGATAATTAAAGGAACAATATGTGAGAATTATTCTGTGAAATAATCTCAAAACTGTCTAATGTCTCAATCTCGCTGGAGGGCAGGTTACATTGAACCAGATTTGATTCTCAGTCGGCTGGGGGGCGTTGTCTGTTTTTCTCCTTGTAAAAGAGCCAAAGAGGGATGTAGTTTTTGTTTACAATCGGTGAGCCGGTGGGATCGAGTCTGCACTGGCATTTGTAACTCAGCACTGGCTGGCAACGAGAGCCTGGTCTGCCAGACTATTCTACACAGAGGACGAGTCTGGATACTCGGAGGCGGAGAGCATCATGAGGGGCGGGACTAGCCAGCTCAAAAATAACCAACCTCATAAAAGGCGGAAATACCGACTGTATCGCACGGCGCTGTAGTTTTGTAGCTGTAGTCAAAGATGGCGTCTGGCGACGGCGTAAATGCCCTTTTAGTGGTTTTAAAAACGTGTCCAAGTCATTTAGAACATAGGAAAGAGCCGCAGCGAACTATGCTTCAGACGCCATCTTTGTTGTTTATAAGAACCTGAGCATTGTGGTGTGTGACGTACGCTGCTCAGCGCTGATTGGCTCAGTTAGAATTCTCAGGGGGTGGGGCTATTTGATTGGGAGAGTTACCAGGCCCTTTGCTTCCCAGGGCCTGTTTTGTAAAGATCTTTGCGTCATTCTAAAGATTTCATCGTTAAATAATCACTATAATGCATTTTAGAATTGTGCAAAACAACTTCTCTTATGCTTTATATTATGTTTTAGCCTTTTATGGTTGAAATTCAATTCAATTCAAGTTTATTTATATAGCGCCAAATCACGACAAGAGTCGTCTCAAGGCACTTCACATAATAAACATTCCAATTCAGGTCAGTTCATTAAGCCAATCAAAAATAATGTTTCCTATATAAGGAACCCAGCAAATTGCATCAAGTCACTGACTAGTGTCAGTGACTATACAGCAATCCTCTTACTAAGCAAGCATGCAGCGACAGTGGAGAGGAAAACTCCCTTTTAACAGGAAGAAACCTCCAGAGAATCCTGGCTCAGTATAAGCAGCCATCCTCCACGACTCACTGGGGATCGAGAAGACAGAGCAGGCAGACAAAGACACAGACACACACACACTCATTAGAACATCTCTTAAGTCCGGAGTCTTTCTTTCTTGGCATTAGCGGCTCCGGTAGACCTACATGCATACATCTGTAGCCAGCGGTAGTGACCGTGTCATTAGAAGAGAATGAAAAACAACAAACACCGATGCTTGGCAGTAACCAGTTTGATGTAGCTCACATGATTTGTGTTGATACTAAACTCTGAGTTTACATAAAGGCTTCATGAATAAACAGAATACACACCACCCTTTATAAAACAAAACAGTGGTTTTAATCTGTTGCTCTTGTTTTAAAGTGACAGTCACATAGCATGAAGGCAGGAAAGGCGGCTTTGACATTGGACAAGTCTCATTGTGTTTCCATGGTAACGTGGTCCTATTAGGTGCCAGAGATCAGAGCTCCCAAGCAAAAGTACTTTGACGTAAACTGGAGACGCTGTAATCCCTCAGATGTGTATGTTTAGAGGGAAGTGTTGGTGTTTGTGAAGCTTTTATTTCTGAGAAAAGTGAGTTTATTCCACCACATAAATATTAGTATTTAATAATATTATTCATGTATGAATTATAAATTAAAAGAGAAAACGCAACGCAACAAACCGAGGGGTGTGGCGCCTTTTTAAACCACCGTGTGAGTGCCCGTTTATTCTATCTTTTCTTCCTTTACCTCCGTCTCTTTCTCTCCTCTCTCAGTTCATCCTGGGGTCGGGTCCCACCTGACCGTCTCTGCTCTTTCAGCCCTTCAATGGCTTGTCTGCAGTTCAAGGAGAGGGCAGTCAGAGACCTGATCCGTCACCACGCTGAAATATCACCACTTAAACGCCTCACACTGTACACGGCTCCATTGTAGTCTCATCGCCTCACATTTACTGGCCTGTCCAGTTTAGGGTCACTTCACTGAACAGGGAGCGCCAGTTGTGGAGCCACACACACACACACACACACACACACACACACACACACACACACACACACACACACACACACACACACACACACACACACACACACACACACACACACACACACACACACACACTGGTCTCTGGCTGTCTGTTTCCACTGCTCTGTGATGGTTGACGGCTTGAGAGCACTCCTCCGCCACGTGACTTACACCATTGTCTTCATGTGCAGTCCTCTTTGCACTGGTGCTCACATGCACAGCAGAATATAACTCAGTTCTGCAATTCGAGGCATTAAGTAAAAAACTTCTCATGAATTTGTAAGACAATTAAGTATTTTAGACGTAAAACATCTCTGGCAAAGCTGTTGTCGTGCTTTAGCCATTTCTGGAGGTGTAAGTTTAACCGTGGCTGCAGGTTTGTGGAAACCACCGTTTTCCTTCTGCGTTTCACTCAAGAGATACATATTGCCTCTAAGCCGGCAGAAGAAGGCCTAAAAGCAATTTTCTCTTTGAGCTGAAGAGGTTTGAACTTTAAAAAAGGTGCATCAGTCCTACAGTGCAGCAACACAAAAACAAGTCTGGATTTGAGCATCGGTGCTTCGGATCACATGTGAGATGATTCAAAGCAAGAATCTACTGAATAAAGACATTCTTAAATCATTGAGATCAACAGACTTAAGAAGATGCAGGTCATTTGGTGCTGGTTCTGCACAGTTTGACCTGTTTTTAGTTAGATCTGATCCTGTACGTGGTGACTGCTGAATATCATGAGACGCTCAGAAGCAGCTCCTCTCTGGTTTTGCTTTCTGCTTCAAACGACTTTCCTCACAGCAGTGGATGTTTGCTGAATTACCTCAAAGCACATGTCAGTAAATATATCAGTCACCGAATCTGAAAAATATCAAATCCTGCTGAAGCTGAGCGTGAGCCGGCATGGCGGAGCCGGCATCAGTGGGAAACACGGCGACGCTGGTGCACCTTTTACTTTTATGGTTGATAAACTTGTGATTGATCCTGACTTTGCCTCCAGCGGAGCCCGGACACACACACACACAGCGAGCTGTGTCCTTCTGCAGGGTGGGAAGCGGTGGTTTAGACTCTCGAGGCCGTCCCCGGATGGTGGGCTCTGAAAAGCACTGAACTGTCTGCAGAATATACCTTGAAGGATGTGAAATATTCTCCTCTTTTTGTGCTGTTTTGTTTTCTTTTAATCTCACCATCTCACTCTCTCTCTCACCAGATTGTATCAGGATAGACTGTAATCTCAGTAAGTGTCTCCTATAATTATCTACTGTACCATTATTTAGAACATTCACTGTGGTGTGATCGATGTGCTTTTCTCTAAACCTAAACCTGATTTATTCATTTGTTGAACTCCTCTTTTCTCCATGTTTGCGGTTTTCTGTCTCTGATGTGATTATGAACAGAACATTCAACGTAACTAGAGGCTTTTGCCTAAAAAACACCAAACAAAACTATCAAAACAGGTTTTTCTTCCTCTTTCAGCGCCATATTAACCTAATCAAACAGATTTAAATGTAACACACCAGTGTGCTGCGGTTCTGTCGTTTAGTCTGTAATTTATTTACCAATTAACTGTTGATAAATGAGTTTAAATCAGGTTCATTCAGCAGCTGTTTTTCTTCAGAGACAGTTACTCAGTTAAATGAAATAGTAATTATGGCAGGTACAGAGCAGAATTAACCTTAAATGTCATTTAATGGTGTAATCAGGAGGTTAGCAAAGAGAATGTGTGAATAAACGAGGAAATGGGTTTAAAACAGATTTAAATTATTCTAGCCGACTTCAATATGTGTGTTGATATAATTAGTATCTGAATGTAAACATCAACCACATGTTTATCACACCTTTCTAACTAATCTGTTTAATAACATCATTTAGATTAAATCTTGACCACAAGTCTAAAGCAACAAATTGGACAAACATACATTTAAACAGAAACCTGCAGACATGATATATAGGATTTTGTTTATAGGTTCTTCTAAGACAAACAATACCCTAGACAACAGGAACAAGTGAACGGTGGTTTCAGATAATTTTTCTTATAAGAGACAGGTAATCTAGATTTGGTTCAAATTACAAACAGATATTTCATTACACGACGACCTCTAAAGGTTAACTGATAATCTGCTGGGAGCCTGTTTCCATCTCTTTTATATAAATATTCTAAAAGGTAAGTAGAGTGTGCACATGTGTGTGTGTGTGAGTGGGTGTGTTAAGCTTTTTCTATATTTTTTGCAGACAAAGAAATTCTACAGCTGTATTTTTAGAGCAAAAACTGGTTTAAAAGGTGGATGTTTTGCTCATCTCCACCACCAGATGGCAGTGCGCCGACATGCACTTTTATGTGAACACGAAACGTGCAAAAACAAGGTGGTGTCTTGATGCAGTGCAACGACTGAATATAACACCAGTGTTTTTTTGCAAAGGGTCTAACACTGCAGTTGTGGTTTTGCACATCGTATCTCGTTAGAATATTTTGATCAACCCCTTTTCAAACATTATTACATGATTAACAATCTAATGATATCAAGTGGGATATCAGAGGAGACTGATAGGAAATGCTGCACAGGGTAAAGAGGCGATCACACAACGTCGTTCCTGATTAGATCGCATGTAAAAGCACAACAATGTACTTTAGAAAGTGAGATGTCGCGTGTTGCAGAATCACAGCAAAACGCTTTGCTAACTCGGTGAGAGCCGAGTCTCGGCTCACTCTGGAGGCTGACCTGAATCGCTGCACCGGGCCTTTGAAGTTGTCTTTGTTTGAATGCATTAATCAAATTCGATTTTAAGTGAGGATCAGACTGGACAAAACACACTCCTCGCATGTGCAGCTTACACCAGAGCCTCTGCTAGCCGAGCTTGTGAAGTAAAGGCACTTTGAAAAGGAGCCAAATTTCAAAGGCTTTTACAATCACATGTCTGGGAGAATAAATATCATATTCCTACGTTTTCTAACCCCCTGCTGCTGCATCAGATGGATCATTATTCCTGAATAGAGCTGTGGATTTATCACGTCTTTCACTTAAACATAAGAAATAATCATAGTTTATTATTTAAAATAATCCTATGGGTTTGAGATTAGCTCAGTTAAAGAAAATGTTTTTTTTTTATTCTGACCATCATTCTGACATCAGAATAGAAACAACCAGACGAGTCAGATCACATATAAAGGGAAAGTCGTTCATTTGGCCAACATTTCTCATCAGCTGTTTCTGAACACGTCACACTTTCATCCTGTAGTTTTTGTTAAATGCGTAATCACAGCTCTAACCATAGCCATGTTGAGGAACTATGAAGCATGTGTGTGCAGAATTATCAGTCACAAGTTTAAAATTTGGTCTGCTATGTTGAAATTGAAAGAAAAGATATGTTGTTTTAGGATTTCTCTCATGTTTTTCCTTGTTTGGTTATAAAATGTCTGCCTTAAATTACATGTAACCCCTTTGGTGTGGGAAGCACTCCACTAACTAACTAGCTGTTGATCTGTCGTCCATACGTCTGGTTTCATGTCAGTAAACATTCCTGCTTCTCCTCTGGATTCAACTCCTGCATGTAATTTGTTTTTCAATATCCAAGTAAATCCATCAAATGCAGAGGCAGCCGGATTGGACTTTATCGACCTACCTGGTGCACACGGCCAATTTTCAGCAGGTGGACGACGGTGCGATGCTGTAGAAACACTTAATATGCATCCCCGGACAAGATCTCCAGGCACGGTTTTTATTTCCCTGGGGATGAAACAGTGTAGTGTTGGGAAGCCAGCTGATGTTTTTCATTTATTGCCCTCTATGTGTCCCTTGTATTCTCCTGCACCCTGAGCTCAATTAGACAGACAAACCCCTAAAGGCGAAGTCAGCTTAGGCATGGCCAATTAGTTTCCCAAGCGATGTCAGAACTCCTTTGAACTGCCATGTCGCCCTGTTGCATATGCGCTGATCTGGGTTGACGGCGCTGCAGTGGCAAGCCGCTGCACTGTGACCTATTTTTAAGCCAGTAAAAACTGCAGGGGATAGTGGAGACATTTCTAAAACTTTAATAGCCTATATGTGTCGGAGCGAGGCGTCTGTTACCCGACACCGTTCTTCAATAGGCACCACTCAGACCGCTCTGAACACATGAGCTGGTAAAGCTTTTGTTAAGGTAATATAGGTGTGCAGGATGAAGGTACAATTAAATAATCAAATGTCTATTTTGATGGCACAACACTGGGTTTATGTTTACATGTACCAGCCAGTAGAGGGCACTATTGCGGGTTGCCAAACAGTCTGCTCGGCACAGCGAGGCTGGCACTGTGGAAAATGGCCGACTCTCCCAAGTCAAGCAGCTACTTCTGAGTCCAGAAGATGTTGTGACCTTTCTCAGAAGAGGAGCGACCATAAAAGATCTAAAACCAGAGTGAGTTTAGGTGAAGTCTAGAGCAGATGGAACCAAATAAAACAGTTCACATCGGTAGCGAACCTGGAATCCCAACGGCTGGAAACCTTGTCCTATTGTTGCAACTGCAACCTCCACACTCTAGATGTTGCTTTGGTGTTCGTGTTCCATATTCAACCTTTAATGCTTCTCCCTCCTACTGGTTGAAAGTGCAGTTACAACTATCATAAACAGCCCTGCAGCAGCCTGCTGTAGCTAGCACTAGCAATGAGCTAACGCGAGTCAGTTCATACTAAAGCAAGCCATGAAGTTAAATGGTCCACACTATTGGACAAAAAATATTATTACTTACAAGTTCAGTAGCAACAAAGCCAGGTCACCATCACTCTGTGATTTTGTGGCCTCCTTTACTCTCTCAAACTAGTGTAAGCCGTTCTGGTTTTAGCTTCACCTCCAAAGACATTACTGTTTTACTTTTACTTCCAGACTCCATCATGATGCCAACTAAAAGCTAAATTCTTCTTGTTCTTTTTATTGACGGTCAGTGAACTGAAAAAGCTAACTGCTATATTAGCTGCCAAAACAGTAAACAGCTATTGCTGTAAAGCCAGTAGAGTCCTCCCACTAGTGTACCTAACTGAACCACAAAACTGCTAAGGGCAGTTTCTGGTCAGCAGAGGGACACAGCAACACATTCTCACTCCCAGCGCGTCAAAAACAAACGCTTGGTCAGCCACCCTCCGCATCAGACCTCTGACGCCAAATGTGCCCTTTTTCGTCACTTATGTATGAAAAGAGGTTGTTCCCTTTTCTGACTGCAGATCCCAATGCAGCGTAAAACTGACGCGATGGGATGTCCGCAGCCAGGGCACCAAACAAGCTCATTGTACCTCACCCTAACCTTATCCTCTTGTTATTTAACCTTCCCCTCACCCTCATCCTAACCTTAACCATCTTGCTAGCTAACACGTTAGTGATGTGTCGGTCGTTCTAAAAGCCGGCTCCATGAAGTGAACGGCGGGATCCGCCTCGTCATTGGTCAGGTTTGGACCGAGGCAACACGAGGGGGAGGTTTCAAATACCATGGTGGAGGTTAAAAGCAGAGGGTATTTGTAACCTCCCCCTTGCCAGATGGTATGTTCTAGCATTCCCCTTGGGCAGCAAATACGAAAATTCACAGTCAGAATGCATGGGAAACAAAGACTTGATCACAATGAGAGTAATGTTTCAGGTAGGTTAAGGTTAGGATGAGGGAGAGGGGAAGGTTATAAATAGTAAAACGTTAAGGTTTAGGTGTGGTTGAATGAGCTGGTTTGGTGCCGCGTCAGCGGACATCCCATCGCATCAGTTTAACGCTGCATTGGGACCTGCAGTCAGAAAAGGGAAAAAACCCTTTTTGCACATACTGTAAGTGACGAAAAAGGGCACTCTTGGCGTCAGGGGTCTGACGCGGAGGGTGGCTTTCCAAGCGTTTGTTTTTGACGCGCTGGGAGTGAGAATGTGTTGGACACAGAGTGCTGGCCAGTGGGAAGTTGCTGAAGTTTACAGCCCAATAATCACTGACTATTGCTTCAATAATCTTATTTTTGAAATAGCATAAAGTTTAAAATACCCTTTAGTGTTGCTTTAACACTAGACGTTTGCAGCTTTTTGGCCTTTCTACTACTTTTTAAGTACTAAGACAATTACTTGCGGTTGAGTGTCTGAGGATGAATGCGTGAGTAAATATATTCACCCTGTGAGTGTTTCTGAAGTTGAGCTTGTGAGGACAGATGCCTCGCTCATGAGACCTGATTGTCACTTGACGCCTTCCTTCTCTCAGGCAAGGGACCGGAGATACTTCTTGTAGGCGAGAAGCTGAATGACAACGAGTGGCACACAGTGAAGGTGACACGGCGTGGGAAGAACTTGCAGTTGTCTGTAGACAATGTGACAGTGGAAGGTAGGGCGGCGAGAAAGAGCAGATGCGGGTTTTGATGCATGTGAGTGGGTTTAAGAGGAATGGTTTCCTCCACAGGCCACATGTCAGGCGCCCACACCCGCCTAGAGTTCAACAACATTGAGACAGGGATCATGACAGAGCGGCGCTTCATTTCAGTGATGCCTTCCAACTTCATCGGCCATCTGCAGGCACTGTCCTTCAACGGGATGCTCTATCTGGACCAGTGCAAGAATGGAGACATCTCCTACTGCGAGCTAAATGCTCGCTTTGGCATGAGGCACATCGTTGCCAACCCTGTAACCTTTCTGACTCAAGCCAGCTATCTGGCCTTCTCCACCTTGCAGGCCTATGCTTCCATGCACCTGTTCTTTCAGTTTAAGACAACCAACACTGATGGCCTGGTCCTTTACAACTCTGGAGATGGAAGTGACTTTATTGTGGTGGAGCTGGTCAAAGGGTAAGAATGCAGTTCATCTTACAGCCTAGGAAACAATTAGATAGACCCTAACTCACAGTTACAACAATGGGGGACTGGTGTCACACACTAATATTTGAGATTTCAAAAAAATATCTGCTAAAAGTTTGACTGCACTGATTCTATTTTTTTATTAAACATACTAATTTACACCAGAAAGCTGAATTTGTGGTTCCCTTTCACCCAGTTTCTCTGGAAGTGCGACATAATTTATAGATTTACCTCAAATTGCTCCAGAGTGCAGAGCGCACACAGTAAGGTTCACAAAAGGGACTATTTCCTCCTCTGGACTGAATGGAAATGCTATTTTAACTTGTCATATCTTCTGCCTAAAATACTTCAGAGGTGCAGAAATTTTAATGTGTGACTACCAGACTGTTCTGTTGCTCAGAGTTTCGAACATTTTAGGCACAACTTAAAGTTTTTGCTCACTTGAAGCTCAGTTTCTATCAACAATTGTTCCTGTGTCTCACATGTTCCTAGTTATGCTAATGAGCCTCTGGCAGCAGCTTTAACGTTTCTGTTGAATGTAGTTGTGATACAGTTACTGTTTTTATACTAATTCATTTATTAAAAGTACGTTTCATATAAATTCTGAATAATATAACAGAAAAGTTATTGTTTGTTGAATTTCAGGAGGTGTTACATCCACTAGCACGGTTCACAAATTCGTCATGATGAGTGGATCCACAATAGAGTTTTGGTTAAACTTGGCTAAATTCCCCCTATTGTGTGATTAATTCATTTTTAGCTGTCTTGTACAAACACCAGGGGTCTCATTTATCAAACATTGTGTCGAATCCTTACTAAAACCGTACTTAAGCTCAGCAAACAAGATATACTTACTTACGCCAAGCAGGTTTGTGATCTATCAAACATGGAGTGCGCACAGCTGCACGCAATCTCCGCTTCATAAATCAGAGACTAACGAGAAAGGTTCTCAGCTGCTTTTTAGTCACATCCCGCCCTGACTACACCCACTTACTGCCATAAATAGTCAATGCATTGTGCCTCGTGGATCTCATGCATAAACATAAGTCGGCTGTTGCAGCGCTCTGCCAATGACATGGCGACCGTAGATCAAGTCAGATCAAGGAAGCGCTATTTCACAGAAGCAGAAACTGAGGTACTACCTGTGGGTGAGGTGGAGAAATGAAAGGAAGTACTTTTGCTAAACAAATAAGAGAAAATCCACGGAGTGGCACAGCGTTGCTGAAGCCGTCAATGTTGTGAATTCTTCTGAGAGATCTGTGGCGGATATAAAAGAATGGTCCATAGGGGATTCGATCCCCAGACTCCCAGGTGAAAGTCACGTGCGCCAACCAGTCAGCCAAACAGAGATCTTCCCTGTCCAAGTAGCCAGGGTGCATGATAAATCAGGTCACAGTGACAGGACACACACACTGTCACAGAGGCATGACATTCTGTCTCAATCTGTCCCCCTGCTGATATTCTGCATTCCATATTCTGCGCTTCAGGCTGTGTGTGTGTGTGCGTGCGCGTGTGTGAGTGTATGCGCGCATGTGTGTGTGCTTGCACGTGTGTGCGTGTGGGGGGTCTTGTTCTGTGTGAAAACGAAGCAGTACAAGTGATAATGCTGCAGGATTTCATAATGTTATCCTTCTCAGCAGCAGCACTGCAGGTGCTCTCCATGTCCAACATGTGCGTAAGCCAGGTCCTTAGTCAACTTAAAGTTGCGCACATTTTTCCGCTAAGATTTCTTTCATAAATCCCAAAATTTGCGTGGAAAGTAGCTTACGCAGTTTTCCGACCCCGTTTTGTGTGTAAGCAAGCTTGATAAATGAGGCCCCTGGCGTCTATAGAGTGATTTGTCTAAATGGGACAACCAGAAAGAGGAAACAGAAGTTCAAAAACCACAGTTGTACACATATGCAAGCATTTTGGGCAACAGCAAGTAAAATGTGTTCGGAATAATTTATTCATGGTAGATAGGTTTATGTTACAGAGAGAGAATCAGAGCCAACATTGTATCTTCCCACTGTCACACCAGACACAGACTTTCTCCCAGTAGCAATTAGTCAGCAGGAGGCCTTGTTCATGGAGTCAGCAGCAGACTACACAGACATTCAAATGGTTCTGTCTTGAGTTTCTGGATGCTCAGAGTTACGTGTGAAGTGTAGCAGCTTTTTCATTGACGGTGGGTTGTTTTTTTATTACAGAATTTTATTTGGGCTGGGCAAGTTCTATAAAGTGAAAGTTAGACAGCCTTGAATTCACATTGTTTGGTTGAAAGTCAAAAGGGACTGTGCTCATTAGTGATTTAGGGCTCCTGCTGTGGGATTATCATGTGACAGACTGTTAAAACTGCAGAGTACAGGGGTTTGGATGAGCTTACCGAAGACTTTAGAAACTTGTGATGACATCATAATGCCTGTTTATGAATGCGATGTGGTCTGAAGGATGATGATGAGACGTGTCCTTCTGTAGGTACATTCACTATGTCTTTGACTTGGGAAATGGACCTTCACTGATGAAGGGAAACTCTGACAAGCCCCTCAACGACAACCAGTGGCACAATGTGGTGATCTCCCGTGACAGTAACAATGTGCACATACTCAAGATTGACTCCCGCACCGTCACCCAGCATACCAATGGAGCGCGCAACCTGGATCTGAAAGGTAAGCTGTACACATGTGACACTCCTGGATCGTCAGTGACATCATCTGCTTTGCCCAGATAAGAGTTAAAAGTTTTGTATGTGTGTGTATCGGTCATCCACAGTTTTACTTTGCATTTAAATGCTTCTCTGTTCAACCCTTGAACCTTGCAGGAGAATTGTACATCGGGGGTGTTGGGAAGAGCATGTACAGCAGCCTGCCCAGGTTAATCGCCTCCCGGGAAGGATACAAGGGCTGCCTGGCATCTGTGGACTTGAACGGAAGACTTCCTGACCTACTGGCAGATGCTCTCCACAAGGTGGGGGATGTGGAGGGTGGTTGTGGAGGTAAGGTCAAAAATTAAAGAAACACCTGTTAATTTTTTTCTGTAACCTGGTTTCATTATATTACAAGCATAGTGATGAAACCAGGGAAACCGGTGGCTGTGCACTCCAAGCTCATTACATCCCATTTGCTATGGTACTAAAAACACTCCCTGCTGTGATTGGCCAGAGAATACATTCGGTGGATTTACTCAGATTTTGCTGGCTCACATCTAAATAACATGATATTATTCTGCTGTCAGCCTACTTTAGTTGAGTCCTATGGAGAAAACTCTCAGCAGTCTGAAGAGTTGTGTAAAGGTTTCATAAGGCCAGATCATCTCTCCAGGGAGCGTTACACAAACAAAGAAAAGCTGCACTGTTTTCTACTTTGTATACTTTTAAATCTCCTTGAAGGGATATATTTTTCCAGTGGCATGGCTGCTGCATAAGAAAACACAGCATCAAGGTGAAGAAACAGGTCATAGAGATGCATTGATTATGGTTCTGAGGGACGATATTGAACATGACTCATTTTAAAGAACCATGATTTACAGACATTTTTATCAGTTTCCAACAGGGAGCCTAAGCCACGCCCATCTACTTCCCGTCCATGGTGGGAGTCTATGAGCCGATATTTTATTTTCTGATCCTGTTTGATATTTACCATGGATTTCACATATCTGTGAACTTTAAAGGCACATTTTGATGCCAAGAAAGTGCTTATTTTAGAAAGGTGATAAAAGTTATTTTAAAACTGCTCGTCTCACCAAACTGATGTCATGGAACCAGACACGGAGAAGAGGAGAGGAAAAATGGTTTTGATTTTAGCGAGGTTTGAATTCTTCTCTCAAGACGACAGAGGGAACATTAAACATGGAGGAAGTGACTATAAATCTGGCCATGTGGAAAGTAGTAGCTGTGCTGGGGAGAAGAGATTCTGCAGTGACGACTTCTCAGTTGCAGCCATTTTAATTACGAAATTTTACAAGCCCATAAATTTCAAATTACTTCACGTGACAGACATGGCCGAAAGTCATATCGTTATTTGTCATTTAAATTGAAGTACAACACATGTGTGATTCAGGGTGTAAAGCACAGCGGGCCAAAGAATAGCGTTTATGGCCCCGTTCGCTTACATTCAGACTAATGGCTCTTACACACTAGTATTGGCTCCACTGCACCTGCCCCAGCGCAGCCACGTAGGTTCCACACTTTCTCGGGAATCTGACGTGACTGAGCACATGGGCGTTCTGTGGTCTGTGATGTCATGAGCACATCTCCGAGCACGTATGCGGGGCAAAGGAACAGAAGTCTGCTGTGTCTCCATTATTAATCAAAAGTGGCATGAGCAGTCGCTTTTGGAGACTTTGACTCTGATATAGCATCCTGCTTTGCTGTGTGTGTGTGTGTGTGTGTGTGTGTGTGTGTGTGTGTGTGTGTGTGTGTGTGTGTGTGTGTGTGTGTGTGTGTGTGTGTGTGTGTGTGTGTGTGTAGGGGGGCAGAAAAAATGGCTTCAGTCAGAGGCTTGTTAATTCTGCAGCATCCAGGATGATAATTGATCGTGCATGCGGGAAGCCACCGCGGGCTCATTTATCCACCAACCAGAGGGTACCCCTAATGGTAGACGTGCTTTTGAACTGGCCAATCAGTCAACAGTGGCCCTGTTCGGCTCCAGGCAGACCACGCGCAGAAAAATTCAAGGCTACCTAAATGAGAACACTCCAAACCCGGTCCAGGCAGAGTGAAGCTGATGCAAGTGTGTAAGGGCCTCAAGGGATGGAATATACTTGCTTTTAATTACGCATACACTTGTTTATCATGGCTGCCTCGCGTAATTTGTGTCTGTTTGAAGCGTCGTTTGTGTGCATCCTCTGAAATTAACGCAACACATTTGCAAGCTGCAATATGTGAGTAACCAGTAGGGGGAGTTGACAAAACAAGATAAACATACTCACCATTGTTACCCCTTCTCTGGTTTAGAGGCTTGTATACTACACTATCTGCAATACCGCTGTTGTCTTTTTTTTCGGATGGGATCCCAAAATTAACCAGTTACTGATCTCTTCTACTGATGCCCTGTTTGTTTTGGTTGTACCCTACAAACCCGGCTCTCTCTCCGGTCTGAGATCTCTACTGTGCCCCCTAGTGGAACACTAAAGTGTGCTGTGTAGCATCAAGTAGGTGAACAAGACATAGCCTTTTGCATTCGTCAACCATCGACATAAATATACTGGACATCTCCTTTCCATAGGCTCCAATATCACGTTTTTGAGGCCAAATGGGAGGTGGCCACCACCACTATTTTGACCGTGTCACAGGTTCTGTCAAGCCCAGACAATTCCACAAAAGGGAAGGGAGGAGGAGCTGAGGGTGGGGCTGTAAGGTTGGGATCAACTGACGACACCCGGTCGAACTAGATACAAGCTAACCTGAAGCTAACCCTGGCTAACCCAAAGCTAATGCAGAGGTGGGAGCTAAGCAAACGGAGGTAGCAACCTAGCTACAACCGGAGTTAACTGTGCACAACACCAGAGCTTCTGAGTCAGAGATACACCGGGCTGACCGCTGGGTAAAACTGGGTGGAACACAGAGGTCTACGAGAGCTCCACAAGCCGGCAGCCGCACAGCAGACAAGCGCCGCTGTGATCTGAGATGCGCAGAGCTGCCGCTGGGGAGAACCGGGTGGAAAGGTTTCCATCCCAGAGCTCCACAAGCCATCAGCCCGCGCAGCATACAGAAGCCGCGATCAGACAGAGATGCGCCAGGCTGCGGGAAGGGGAGAACCGGGTGGAAAACATCGGTCTCCTGAGAGCTCCACAAGCTGATAGTCGGAACCCAGCTTCACCAACATGTTATATTTCAACCCATTTTCTAAAGTGCAGCATTATGTTAAATGCACTGGGTTTTACCCTATTACATTTAAATTTCATGGTTAAACAGTACATGTTAAAATCTAAGCTCAGCTCGGCAGTGACCTAAAATACATTAATATAATTTTACTTACCGAAAAAAATGAAGTGGAGACTCCTTGGACGCTCTATTAGTGCAATTAATGCCACAGCAAGTCATTTTGTCCAACAATTGCACAAAAAATATCCAAAAAAGAATACACAAACACAGAGACTCAAAATCCCAGAACAGTTTCCAAGCCAGACCAAGGCTCTACTGAGGCCTTTCCACGGAGCTAGCTCTGAGGTCACGTTCAATAGGAAGGGAAAGAAGATCCGGTAGCTTATATAATCGCTGTATATAGTTGAAGTAAATCTTTAAATTTTAGTATTTTTGAATATATAAATAACGGATTAGTGTGTTCTCTAAATCTAACATTGTGAACGACTCTCAGGGCTCTTTTCTGCATGATGTACAAGGGTACAATAGATGTTTTATAAGTGTTATTCCATACCTCTACACAGTAAATAAGATGGGGATAAATCAATGAATAATAAAGGACATGGAGTGATTTATAATCCAAGTACTGTCGCGCTTTATTCGTAATGTAGATGCTTCTCGCAACCTTATTATATACATGTTTAATTTGTGGTTTCCAACTTAATTTATTATCTATTAGTATTCCAAGGAACTTATGTTCTGTTACTTGCTCAATTTCACATCCATCTATTTGCAGCTTAACCTCAGTTTTATTAGCCATACCAAACAGCATACATTTTGTTTTTGCTATATTTAATGTAAGCTTCTTTTCAATAAACCACTCTTTAATGATGCACATTTCAATTTAGACCATCCTTTCTAAGCCGCTAATATTATCTCCTGCACAGAAAATAGTGGTATCATCGGCAAAAAAAAAAAAAAAAAAATGTCAGTGTATTTGTTACATTTCTCAAATCATTAATATATAATAAAAATAATTTTGGACCCAACACAGACCCCTGTGGTACTCCACAAACAATGTCCAACCATGAAGATGAACATTCTCCAAACTTCACAAACTTTCTCCTCTGTTGTAGATAGCTTGTCAACGAGCTCAACACTACACACCTAATCCCATACCTCTCTACCTTTTCAAGTCACATTTTATGATTAACCATATCATAAGCCTTTTTTAAATCAATAAATATCCCTAGAACATGTTTCTTCTGATTGATATTGTAATTTCTTCCACAGAATGCACCAGAGCTGGTGATGTTGAACTATTCGATCTAAATCCACACTGACAGTCTGATATTATCTTGTATTTAGTCAAAAATATTTCGAGTTGGTTATCAAACATTTTTTCTTGGATAGGAGTACAGGTGAGCTAACTAAAGTAGAAATTAAAAACTGTTTCTCAGTCTGCTGTGGATGCCCTGCAGGTCCCAGCACCACCTGCACAGAGGACTCCTGCCACCACCAGGGTGTGTGTCTGCAGCTGTGGGAGGGCTTCTCCTGTGACTGCACCATGACCACCTACGGCGGACCCTTCTGCAGCGACCGTGAGTAAAAGACGCCTGACCGGGTGGGATTCTGGGAAGAGTCTTCTTGATGGAATAGCACTGAGAGAACGCAGATCCAATTCCAACATCATTATATAAAATTCAGCATGGATCCTGTTCTCATAAGAACTCAGAGTCATTTTTAATCTACAAATCGAAGAAGAAAATGTGGTTAACAATCTGAAAATATTCACTTCAATAATAATATTATGCTAACATGTTTATTTTAATTATTGTAACATTATAATTGCTTCAACAATCTTATGTTTAAAATAATATTTCATGAAAAATATATGAATGAGTTATTTATGACAATGAAACAATCATATATAACAAAAACAATTAACTCACTATGAGCCTTTTTTTTTACTTATAATAGCGTTTATTAGTCCATTCACGATGAGCCACGCATCGTTTGCTGCAGTCGACTACAATAATAACACAGATTGTTCTTTGTGGTTTTTGGTATTAAAATGTGCCGTTATTAAATCCTATTTGGGATATAAAAAGTATGTTGCACAGTATAATCTCCATAGGGATGCTGTGTAAGGATAATATGATGATAACAGTGCTGCTGAGAGAGTCAATGTGGTGAAAAACCAGAGAGGAAACATCTCATCACTGATGATTGGAGGTTCGTTCCTTCCCACGCTGATTGCAGCTCCAGTTCTGAGGGGAGATTCCAGCAAGCTGTAAGAAAGTCAACATAGAAGTAAGGAGAGAAAAAGCCTAGTCCTCCATGATTAGAAGCATATTAATTATCTCAAACTGATTGTAGCGGAGCGAATAGGTGCTGTACGTAATCTCAGCTATCAAACGCTGCTTTCCTGTGTTTCTGATTCCAGAAACTATAAAACAGGTTTGCTGCTTGGTGTGATTGATGAGAGAGCTGTGCTCCTCTATATATGTAATTACTGTCCTAAATGAATATGCTCAGGTAATAATGTTGAAGCCTGAGTTTAAATAACATCATTTAGTTTTATAAATAACAGTAACAGCAGTTGTTGTTGAGCACGGCGTGAGAGCTGCCCGTTCCTGCTTCTTAGCAAACACATGATGTAGCTTTTGTTATTCTTAATGAAATTCTACTTTTATTATACAGCACACACATTTAAAATAAATGTTATCCGTGTTTTTATTTTATCTCTGGTGTTGCTTAATATTTACCATCTTATTAACTTTCAGCACCTGAAGCAATAAAAGGACTTTTATTTTTTTCTACTGTTTATGATGTCTGCACCGCGAGGATCACTATTCACGTCAGCTGTGGTTTTCCAGCACACGGCCCTCCTAAATAAAGCATGCTGCTGATCGTTATTACCTTTGATGAGGTTTGAGAGCTTAGTGTGTTTCTGTGGTTGTTTGGTGCTAATTATAAAACAACATAACAAACCAAGAAAGTCCTCGCATTATTCTGCAGGGATCATCCAATTAGGATGTTTACATCTGCTGGTGTTTTAAGGGCTGCAGACGTTTACTGTGCAGAGATGTTTGGTGGAAGGAGGCTGAGGTGAGCTCTGTATTGATTTCACGAATGAATCAACCTATTCCATTCAGTTTCAAATCTTACATTCTGTAATCTCATAACCTCTTTTTTGTGTTTATTTACCCATTCCTTGAAAAATAAAATCCAATTCATGCACGGGTCTTCAAAGAGACAGCTCAGAAGTTACAGAGAAGCAGCACGTTCAACTAAAATCCAATTTCACTGCAGCACTCTTGGGTTTCCTTCTCTCCCGTTCTGGGAGGCCTCTCAATCTCGCGGGCGGTAAATGGCACGGCCGGCCCAAATCAAAGGTCAAACCAATACATCAGTCCTGTCCTCTAGTAAACAGCAAGCCTGGCGCTTCACAGTGCACCATCATCGTAGCCATTAAAACAAACAGAAATGGGACTCATGCGAAAACCATCACACACACGCATAGGCGTGTTCATCTCTTTTGTTAAACGTCTCTGGAGCGTGAGACTGGGGTGTTTTACTGATCAGATTCATTTAACAAACCTAAAAAAATGCAGCAGGAGTTTATCCAAATTCTCATTTTTGCTTAGTGAGTTTTCGCCTCAGTGCATTAATATCCACAGATCAGTTCATCAAGTTTGCTTCGAACATCTGTGCTTATTTACCTCCAGGTCATGGTTTCATTACCGGAGCCACTCGCTCAGCGCTCTGAAGTTATGGGATGTGTAATTATTGGTTAACCTCTGCAGTTACAGATAATTGTTGGGCTCGTTCATCACCTGCTTGTGTTTACATCCAGGCCTCCCTCTGTGTGAGTGAACCTTGTTGCCTCTGAGCACAACCACTCCCGGTCTAAACACCCTAATGTTCCTTTTCACAACAATAAATTATTTTCCACTCAACTTCCATGTAGCCCATAAAACGTCTGACAGCCAGTGTGACAACTGTACGACTTCCCATGACATGACGTGAACAATGCAGCGCTGAAAGGCACAAAGAGAGACCCCTGATTTTAACTGTGTGGCACAACTGCTCCAGCGACTCTCCCCCTAATTGATTTCTGTGTCCTCCCACTCAATCTCGGTCGTGCCAGTCAGCGTACAATAAGCACCCCACACACTCGACAGACGCGAGAGATTTCACCTGACATGGCTTTATGTAACCGGAGCGCCTGAAACCGTCAGACATCTGTAGAGTGGAGCCCACCGTCACCAGGAACTGGTAAGTCAACATTTTTCTTTGGAGGGTTCAGCTGCATCGTCCAGCTTTCTGCTTGAAAATTAGCAAGAATATTGGTGTAGTTTGTTGTTTTGCCACATTGCAACTTATTCATTCTGCAACAAAAGAGCCAGGTGTGTTTTATTTAGCTGATGCAATGTTATGTTTCATGTTTGTGTGTCGCAGAGTCTCTCATGGATCACTAGAAAGATTCTCAAGACACTTCTAGAAAGTTTTTGCAGAATCTGCATCTAACACCAAATTCAAGCCAACTGACCTCATGAAAGTGGCAAAAATGTTTTAATCAAAGGTCTGGAGTTGTGCTGAATGAGTGCTACAGGTTGTGTCTGGCTCAAAGCTCAGGCCACACAGTCAGTTTTTCTGCTGTCCTAGACAGATCTATCTTGAACAGAATGGTGATGAGAAATGGTGAACACGAGGGTGATTTGAAGGCCTGTAGCCGTGCAGCCGCCCTATGACAGCTTTTAGCATTGTCATGACTAAATTCAGCCTCCCAACAGTTAAGCAGTGTCAGAAAACCTACGACTGTGGGCTGCAATCGGCAAAACAATAAAACCAATAAAATACACCCGGGGAGTGGCTTGATAAACTTGTGACGTGTACAGAGTAAGAAAGTAGCATTAGCAACAATTATGCGGGGCTGTGTAAGCCACAAATCATTCTTTTACTCTCACATACAAATGTTCTCCTCACACATGCTTACATTCTGTTCATACGTACACACATATACATATTCTTTGCACACACACATATATTGTCTTTACACACACACACACACACACACACACACACACACACACACACACACACACACGCTTACACACATTTATTCTCTCTACACACAAACTGCTGAAACAGCATTTCCGTCACTCTTTTGTACATTCGTTCTGTGTGTAACTTCATTATGTAGCTTAGTAAAATAAATGTTTTTTACTTCACATGTTTCGGCTAATGACTCTAGCCATCATCAGAGTTCTAGCGTTTCTGTTTTCATTCCAGCTAACTAGACCTGGAATTATGTTTTATTTAGATGAAAATGATTGTTCTAATGTAGATTGCACATGATATTTGATCAAGCTGAACTTTACCCTGACGATTGTAGTCAAGTGAGCCGACACTTGGAGGTCAAGCTGCCAATTCTGGAGCTCTGCTAAAGGTTAGCTGCACGCAGGAACATGTGGACCACTCTTTTTGGACTGTCGTTCAGAGTCTAACAAAAGAAGTGAGAAGGGTAGCACTTTTTCCACTTTCATCATTGGGTATCTGTCAGCTGTTAGTGGCGTATACTTTCTAGTGTGTATGCTTGCTAGCTTTATTGTGTCTTGCTAGAGAGAGATGTCGTGCGGTTAGGCTCATAGAAATTTTGGCCTGTGTAGAGCGCCACCTCTCTAGAGTCCTCACAGTGGGACAAAAACACACAGCATGGTCTGGGCTTAAATCATAGCTTATCCTGGAAATTCACCAAAGCACAATTAACTCTGTCATATTGTAACATGAGATGATATTAAACTCTAGCATGAAAAGCAGTGGCTGGTGTGTGATTATAAGTTTCTCAGCTGTATGAATATCCAGAAGGCTAACTGACCCAAGGCAGACTGAAGTTAGTTTAGATTTCTCTACTCAGTAATAAACAAAACAATTAATTAGAGATACGTGATAATGTTTTATATCTGATTCAGGAAGCAGATACACTTTGCTGAAATGCTCCTTTATTTTTTTCCATTTTCAACCTTCATTTCAGGTGGGGTTCTCCACAATTATGAGTCTGCCCCAGACGGGATAATCCAGGATAGAGATTCAGACTTAATCTCACGCCCGGGGGCAGAAGCTTCAGAAAAGTTATTGCTGTTAACAACATGATGACCTAGCGGGATCTGACGTAGGAGACACATTGATTTTTAAAAAGTTGGACCCAAAGTGACACATTCCCTAAAAACTCACAGTTTTTGTGCTGTTTACAATACAAACATTTTTAGGCAGATTATTTTATTTAATATGCTGCTGTTAAAATGCTAGATGTGGTTGAAGCTTTTTAACATTTGTCTTAGCAAATTTGCTGATTATTATCATCTCATTACCAACAGTTTCTCTCAATCAGAGATGAAGATGAAAATTTGGCCAATGTTGTTTCTTACGTCTAATCGATCCAACATCAGTATCTAATTTATTATTTCTAAAATGTGGAAGGTGGTCAGTAAACAATCTAATTGTTTTACGACGTAAATTTAGAATTTCAGGACGGCAATTTTCTCATTTTGTGCAGTTTAGCTTCCTTTGGTGAAATCAGGGTGCAGCTGAAGGC